CACACACACACACACACACACACACACACACACACACACACACACACGTGCTCATCACCCAGGTCTGTGCTGAGAGTGGACCAGGAGACGAGAGAGTCCCCTGGTGACCAGGGGGGTGACTTGGAGCGTGAACCTGGAAATTTTTTCAGTGCTTTTCTAAGGAATGACAAGACTATGTGCTTGACCTCAAGAGTGGTCCAGGGAGAGTCAGAACATCAAGCTTCCATGAGGTTCTCTTTGCTCTCTCCCATCACTGGATTAGGACACACGTGATGCTGAGACACTTGGTCCAACCAGGCCTAGGCAGTCAGTTGTTCTACCAGTATAAGACGAGAGCTTTTGCCAAAGCAAGTTATGTTGTGCTTTGCTCAAAATTATGTGTCTTCAGCTCTATATAACCTCCTCTGGTTTCAGTTTTTCTAACTCTTCTTACAAGTGCAAGTGCAGGGCACCAGACATCAGAACCAGGCCCAAGAGAAACTTGCAGCATCTGCACATCTTTCTCTGCCACAAGAGAGAACACAGAACTCAGCTCATGCATGTATGAGGGTGCCACTTAGGCGGCCCCAAAGGCACGTGCCACCATCTTAAGAGCCCCATAGCACCTGGCCCTTTGCATTAACACAGCCCTAACCTTGCGTGCAACTTGCTGGACTATATGGCCTTGTTCCTAGAAATAACACACAGTGGCCTCAGGCAATGCCTCTGAGAGCAGGTGGCTGTTGAGGGCGGGGCATTGTATGTGGCTTGAACAGCACAGGTAGACAGCAAGGCTGCCTTCTTCACTGCCATGGCATGTTGTCACATCACCCACCTCTCTGGGGCTCAGAGAGCATGCCTCCACCACAGCACCAGAGAAGCCTGCCAGGTAGCCTAAGAGAGAAAAGCAGGGGCTTCAATAACACATTTCCAAAGTGCAGGCCCTCTGAAGGTCCAAGGTTATCAATCCCCTCAGCACAGCCGGCACTGGAGGATGGGATGGTCCGGTAGTCAGCTTCCTCCCAAGGTTCCAGGAGTTTGCAGTACCTGGCATTAAAAACCAAGTGGTGGAACCTCCTTTCTGGAATCTTACCTCACTGGTATGGAGAAACAAAAGGACCCTGGCACTGCTCACACCCTTTCCCAGAACTCCTAGTCGCCACCTGGCACTCTCTTGGTCTGAGGATACTGTTTTCTACTGCCTATACACAGCCCAATTGCCACCATCATGGCTGAGATGGAACACACACAAATCCATCAGGAGGTGACTGAATATGGGTCAGGGCAGAAGGCCATGCTGGTGTGGTGTCAGAGGGTCCCCACACCATGCAGTGGGGCAGATCTTTCCCTGACCCCACGGTAGTCTGAGAACTCTAGACACTGTCTCCTGCTCAAAGGGCAGGATGCTCAGAATGATGTCCAGATGAAGACCCAGGCCAAGTCCAGGGTTAGCTGCTAGGAGCACCTAGGAAACAGTGTAAGTGTCTATCTTGATGGGACCACCCAGCCTCATGGGGAAGCTTCGCTATGAATGAGCCACCTCGCCCACATGCTCAGGACTGAACACAACGGCTCCAAGTGGCAAGCCCATATAAGCCATGGGCAGCAGAGAGCCAGAACTGCCATCTCAACCCCCACATGTCAGACAGGTCCTCAGCCGGAGAGGATAAAAACTTCAGAAAGCATTTTTGATTGCTCTAACTCAACCTGGGCTTTGTAAATGAAAGTTGGGTCATTCTGCCTTGCTGGTCCTAACTGTCCTAGCTCAAGCATCCTTGGGCTCCCAAGGGACAGTCCTCGGCCCTCCATGTAGTCCCTCAGCGGCACCCAGAACTATGTCAGACAAGTGGTCTTCATCATGTCCCCTCGTAGCCCAGTTTCCTCAAACAGCACCTTCCTTAGGTCAGTGTTAAGTTTAACTTTGAAAATACGGCCTCCCTCTAGATGATCTGTCATCTAGCAAGGAAAGGGTCGTAACAATTAGATCATAAAGACTTAGTGTCTCCATACTGTCAGTTTAAAGTGTCTGTGGAATTCATGTGGCATCTGTGTACCCTCTCAACACAGCAACTGACTGGACTCCAACACTGCTGTACAAAACAGATATGCATTTTCCTCAGTTTCTGATTTGAATACACAGGTAGAGTGTCTCTGTTGCATGTTTTATGCGATACCAGCTAGCTTTTACTAATCGTGGGTAAATAGAATTCAGTGTCTCTTTGTGAATAATAATAATAACAATAAAACACGCAAAGCATGCCAACCAAGACCCAGGGCCATGTGCTATTAGGTGACAGACACACAAGAAACAGGGACAGGTTCTCTCAGGGGATGATACCCAGCAAATGACTTTTTTTTTTTTTTCTAAAGGGGACACCTAGAAGACAGAGACATACTCTGTTGTGAGCTGACACCCAGGAGACAAAAAGATACATTCTATTAGAAGACACTCAGGAGACAGAGACAGGTTCTTCTAAGGTATGACAGCAAGGAAATAAGGACAGGTTCTGTCAGGGGTAGAACTCAGGGACATGGATTGGAGTGACAGAGTCATGTTCTGTTGTGGGTAACATTCAAGGGTACGTTCTGTCAGAATGATACTTAGACATGTTCTGTTGGGGGTGACATTCAGAAATATGTTCTGTAGGTGGGTCATATACAGGGACATAGTCTGTTGGAGGTGACATTTAGGAGAAAGGGACAGGAAGAATGATGCAGATGGTGTCTTAAGTATTAGGGAAGGCAGGCAGGCAGGTTGGAGGGTGTTTGAGAACACTGACTCTAACAGAATACTTATTTATTTCTATTTAATGCTATAAGATAAGCAACTAGTTAGTGGGAATGCTTTACCAAAATCAAAGTTCAAATTACATGTTCAAATATTGTTGAAAGATCTATATTTATACTGGAGTATTTTTACACCTTTCGATATCCTATCTTACATTGGGGCATAGGGACATTATGACAGATGGAGATAGTTTTGAAATGGGCCATACAATTTCTGCCACTTCCCTGCAGTGTCCCAGGGAGATGACAGGTGCCTGCTCTGGGACAAGAACCAACCATTCTGCTCCCAGAGGCCCTGGGTTGCTTCAGCTGCCTGTTTTAATGAACAGTTTTACTGGCACACAGCTGCACACCCATGTGTTTACATACTGTTCTGTAGCTGCTTTGGCATTAGAACTGGCTGGGAGGACTGAGACAAATGCACAGACACCTATGGTATTTGCCACCTGTCCCTTTTCAGGGAAAACTGCCTCTCTCTCTCTCTCTCTCTCTCTCTCTCTCTCTCTCTCTCTCTCCCTCCTTCTCTCTCTCTCCAGACTTGTGTACTACCTGGCTACAGCATGGACACATTGGGGAAGCCCTGCCAATTAAGAATGGCGAGGGTGACACTTGAGCTGTACTGTGAAGACATCAGAATATCTTTCCAACACTGAGCCAAACTGCTCTTCTTCACTAACATACTACTGACCATTCTGAACTTTATAGTTCACGGGTGTGGCCATCTTGGGACACTTAAATTATCTCTTCCTTTAGACCTCTTAAACTACACCAAGCCAAACAATAAAGGAAGCCTGTACAACTTAAACTTGAAAGGAGTAATATGCTACAACTACTACTAGTTTGTAATAAGTTTTTATCAAGAAAGGGAGTTAAGTTTATATATATGTGATATATATTTTTACACTATTTTATTAATGTTAGGGAATACGGAGTTTATCACTTTATCAGTGTGATGGGTAATGTTGATGTCATGGGTGTTCTGACTCAGAAAGCACTTAATGCTGACATCTAAACCACACTTTCTCAAAAAGTCTGTCAGGTCAGGATGCCCCTGCTGTCCCTCCTATAGAGTGCAAGGCATCTAGTCACCTGATGGACATATGATCATGGCCTGGCTCATATTGCTTTAGTGAAACAGCTTGTGTCTATCAACATTTCGTTCATTGTGTTTGCTGTTATTAACATTGTGTTGGTAAAGTGATGAATAAAGGTGTTCAAATGTAGATTTCGACTTCTCTCACAGTGTGATGCTTGTCTATACTAGCGATCACATCCTCTGGCCGGCAGGGCCTTCACACTTGGGTACTAACAGAGAGGTGCCTAGAGTCTTCGTAGCATCAGAGCTCACCACAGAGAACCTTGTGTCACTTTCACTCAAGGGACTTCCTGCTTCCTAGCTTAGGCAGGACTGCAAGAACAGGTAGACCAGCCATCTGTCAGACTCAAGGCCAGGCCTGGCTTGGGTGCAGCCCTTGGGTGAGTCCAGACTTAAGGTAATCACTCATAAACTGCATCACAAATTACCAGCACTCCAAAAGCAGGCACATCATCAAGATGATGATTAAAATTAAGGTCAGCTTCAAATACTAGTCCAATGAGGTTGCTGCTCAAGAGCTGCTAAGAAAACAACAGCAACAAAAACAAAAAAAAAAAAAAAACACAAAAAACAAACAAACCATTTTTGTTTTGTTTCAATAATGAAATAATTTGTTACCAGTAGACATAAAAAATTTTTCTAAATGCAGAAAGTGATCACAAGTGAAATCTCTTTCACAACAAGTAAAACAAAAAGCAGGCAGATACCTTCTGATTAATAGTAGCCATGCAAATATTTTGTGAAACTAAAAATGTTTCATTCAGACATGTGGGAACAATCACAAACAAACCTGCAGGGGAACAGAGAGGCTAGCGCTCACCCGCACTGGTGTATTTTGGAGGTATTCAGAGTGCTGACCAGTTTCCTCATTAGCAGGGGTAGAGATGCTGAACAGATGAAATCTAAAAATGGCCAGGAGTGGTGGTGCACATCTTTAATCCCAGCCCTCAGGAGGCAGAGGCAAGAGTCTGAGGCCAACCTGATCTACATGGTGAGCTCCAAGACAGCCAAGTCTACATAGTAAGGACCTTGTCTTAAAAGGAAAACAACAACAACAACAAAAACAAAAAACAAACCCAAGAAAAACCAACCACCAACTAAATAAACAAACAACAACAACA